TAGGCGCGCGCGTCAATGCGCGCGTAAAATTTTAAATTGCTCAAAATCGTCTTAAATTTTTTTTGCATACGTTTCAGGCCATTTTAAGCATTTCATAAAAAATCACGCAAAACACGCATTTTTGCACGTTTTCGTTCGTCACGGCCGAACGAAAAATAATTTCTCCGCAAAAGCTCTTGACCGAATATTCCTCATATTTTTCCGGAAAATTTGATACCATGTTTAGCTCTTTATCACTATTAAAAACGGAATGAGCGTCCGTTCAAGATAACCGTCCGTACGCGCGATTTTTGTAATACATTGCATATATGGGCAAAAACATGCCTATGAAAAGTCCATTGGGATGAATAGGGATTGCCAATTTTTTTTTCATATTTAGATAGAGTATGAGTCGGAGGTATGATTTCATATCTCATTTGGCCATTAAGTACATCTTGACGGCATCATAATGGCCTTGGAAGTCAAAAATACAAAATTGCATATTATGACGTCATTGTATTTATGGAAAATGTAGTGTATTTCTCTCAATATTCATCGATTCTCTTTGAAATGTCGATATGTTGTAGATAAGGCAATTCTCTACAAGATCACTTTTCACTAAGTTTCATTTTAATGAGGTCATCATAGTACAAAATTCAATTAAAGGCCACATGTCAGAATTTTCGTCATTTGCGTGTTATGTCTATGGAAGGTGAATTTCGTTCACATCATGAATCTGCATGGCATTCATCTATGAGCACTATCTATCTTATGTGTGCTCTGTTTTCTCCCAAATTGGGGTATGTTATAGCTGAGACCATGGGCTATAAAAACGGTGTACTTTGTTTTTTAATCAGATGTTGGGATCATGTTAAAATTTTCGATCGAAAGTTGAAATTGCAAATTTTGAAGGGATCATTAGGTGATACGTAACGAAGTCAACGTATCACCTTTTGATTTCGTCAAGATTGTTATTAGGTGATACGTAACGAAGTCAACGTATCACCTTTTGATTTCGTCAAGATTTTTATTTATTTTTTTTTTTATTTATTATTCTTCCTCGAATTTGTTCGCAGGATATCTCAAGACTCAATAAAGCCATTGTTATGAATCTTTCACTGATGATAGATCTTAGTCTAACTTAGAACTGCGTGACTTTTCAAAGACTCAAAGTCATCGTGACGTCATCCAGGCGCCATTTTGTAAAAATCAACTTATGATCATATCTTCATAACGGAAAGTAATTTTACATTCATATTTATCAAGATTAAGATCAATATCCGTCGGATCAATATGAGGTCAATAAATGCGCGCAAAAATGCGCGTACGCGTAGGCGCGCGCGTCAATGCGCGCGTAAAATTTTAAATTGCTCAAAATCGTCTTAAATTTTTTTTGCATACGTTTCAGGCCATTTTAAGCATTTCATAAAAAATCACGCAAAACACGCATTTTTGCACGTTTTCGTTCGTCACGGCCGAACGAAAAATAATTTCTCCGCAAAAGCTCTTGACCGAATATTCCTCATATTTTTCCGGAAAATTTGATACCATGTTTAGCTCTTTATCACTATTAAAAACGGAATGAGCGTCCGTTCAAGATAACCGTCCGTACGCGCGATTTTTGTAATACATTGCATATATGGGCAAAAACATGCCTATGAAAAGTCCATTGGGATGAATAGGGATTGCCAATTTTTTTTTCATATTTAGATAGAGTATGAGTCGGAGGTATGATTTCATATCTCATTTGGCCATTAAGTACATCTTGACGGCATCATAATGGCCTTGGAAGTCAAAAATACAAAATTGCATATTATGACGTCATTGTATTTATGGAAAATGTAGTGTATTTCTCTCAATATTCATCGATTCTCTTTGAAATGTCGATATGTTGTAGATAAGGCAATTCTCTACAAGATCACTTTTCACTAAGTTTCATTTTAATGAGGTCATCATAGTACAAAATTCAATTAAAGGCCACATGTCAGAATTTTCGTCATTTGCGTGTTATGTCTATGGAAGGTGAATTTCGTTCACATCATGAATCTGCATGGCATTCATCTATGAGCACTATCTATCTTATGTGTGCTCTGTTTTCTCCCAAATTGGGGTATGTTATAGCTGAGACCATGGGCTATAAAAACGGTGCTTTTAGTTTTTTGATCAGATGATGAGATCATATCACAATTTTCAGTTGAATGTTGAAATGATGAATATGTCACGTATGTCCTATTTGTGAAACTTAAACGTTAGCAGTGTCCTCGTATTGAAATTATGTAAGGAAACCCTTTTACTTTCTAGACTGTACTCTCAGACACTATTGAGTGACTGACTGACATCTTTTTTTCTCTGGTAATAAAATACATAAAATGAGCGTTATAGAGAACATGAGCATTCGGCTACATTAATAACCCACTCTGTTCTCATTGTTCATTTCCTATTCAAGACTTGAATAATGACGAACTTCATTCAATATTTGGTAGTAATACTACAGATACTTATACTGATATCAATGATTTAAACTATTTATCCGAAAAAGAATATGAGTTTCATTTCAGTAGGTTTCTGAACTGTAAATATTATATTGATGAGGATTTTACGACTGAATTCAGTAACATTAACTATCATTTTTTAGTATTTTACATTTTAATTCGCGTAGTTTAAACATACATTGTAATGCTTTATCCAATTTCATCTGTACTTATGTATAGAAACTTGGGTTAATGATAGTACGCCACTATTATTCAATGTATCCGGTCATTCATTTATACAATTTAATCGCCAAGTACAAAAGAGTGGAGGTGTTGGTCTATTGGTCGCTGACAATTTTGAATATGAAATACGCAATGATATATGTATATTATACCCATCATACAACTATGAATCACTGTTTATTGAAAGCAATTTCCCTGTCGTTGAAAATGTTTTACAAAAAACACATACTGAACATAAACAGGTTTATATAATGGGAGATTTTAACATTGATCCCGTGAAATTTACTGGCAATGCTGTATGTAATTTCTTGAGCGAAATACATTCAAATCTTTGTATTCCTTTAATTGACAAGCCTTCAAGAAAGACTGACGGATCAATATCCCTCTAATCCACATTCTTTATACAGTGACAGTATATATCCATCCGATATTTAAAGATTTTATTTTCAAGCAACTAGTGAATCTCACGTCGACAACTCAAAATGATCGCTAATGTATTCTCACACTTTTCATTTACGCCGGGACATCGTGACGTCATACACTATACATTTTTAATTATTCAGGCATAAGCTCTTATTTATCAATTATATTTTCATTTCTTTGAATAAGAAAAAAATCGTCAAAATGCGTTCTTCATGATGTAAATTAGAGTCAAAGGTGTAACTGGTTACTGCACAGAGTCAATGGTCATATATTGTCTCAATCTATCTTCCCTATATCCATAATGATCAAGGGATCGACACAATTTAAACTTGACATATGGATAGATCATTATGGGAAGAGCATTTTATAAAATAATATGATATCGTGTAATGCATTCTTTGTTATGTAAACCAATATCATACGTATCACCTAATTCGTCTAAGTGACGAATTAAAGTCTAGTATTTATTTTGTGTCTGTATAGAAGAAATTATTATTATTCTTCCTCAATTTTGTTCGCAGGATATCTCAAGAATGACAAAAGCCATTGTCATGAAACTTTAAATGATGATAGATCTTAGTCTAACTTAGAACTGCATGACTTTTCAAAGACTCAAAATTATCGTGACGTCATCCAGGCGCCATTTTGTAAAAATCAACTTATGATCATATCTTCATAACGGAAAGTAATTTTTCATTCATGTTTATCATGAATAAGATCAATATACTTCCGGTCAATTTCAGATAAAAAAACGTGCGCAAATCCGCGCGTACGCGTTCTTGTGCGCGTTTACGTGCGCGCACAAATTAAAATGCTCCAAATCATCCCAAATTTTTTTTGCATACGTTTCAAGCCATATGGAGCATTTGACAAAAAATCACTCAAACGCGCATGCGCGCGCGTTTTTTGCGCGTTCTGGCATTTGCAACATATAATCGCAAAAATTTCTCTGTCATCATGTTTGGCACAATTTTCCAAGCATTTTGATACCATGTTCATCTCTTTATCACTATTAATAACGGAATGAGCGTCCGTTCAATATAAATATCCGTGTGCCCGAGCTCATGTATTACATAGTATATATGGGCAAAAACATGCCTATAAAAAGTCCATTGGGATGAATAAGGACTGCCAAGTTTTTTTCACATTTTGATAGAGTATGAGTCAGAGATGTGATTTCATAGCTCATTTGGCCATTAAATACATCCTGACGTCATCATAATGGCCTTGGAAGTCAAAATACAAAATTGCATATTATGACGTCATTATATTTTTTGAAAATTTAGTGTATTTCTCAAAATATTGACTGATTTTCTTTCAAATTGCGGTATCTTGTAGCTTAGGAAATTGCCTACAATATGAATACACACTGCTTTTTATTTTATTGACGTCATTATAGTACAAAATTCAATTAAAGGCCACATGTCAGAATTTTCTCAATTTTGCGTGTTATGTCTACGGAAGGTGAAATTCGTTCTCATCATGGATCTACATGACATTGATCTTTGAGCACTATCTAGCATATTTGTGCTTGATGTTCTCCAAAACTTTGATACGGCGTAGCTAAGCAAATTATCTATAAGAATGATGTACAGCATTTATCATTTTGATGACATCATCATAGTGAAAATTTCAATTAAAGGTGACAAGTCAGAATTGTCTTAGTTTGCGTGTTAGGCGACTTTTTCTGAAATCCTGATTCTACAAATCTCTATCGAATACCGGAAGGGGGCGCTATACCACTCTTAATCATGGTCTTTATCGTATTTATGATCATTATCATTAGATCATCATCGGCACACTTTCATGATAACAAAATAGCACGTATCACCTAATTCGTCAAAGTGACGAATTAAAGTCTAGTTCTCATTTGTTCTTTTGCAGTACCAACTGGACAATGGACATATATATCAGGAGTGCAAAACGTGCGGTATTTAATGTCAACCTTGGACACAAGCTATTTCAATGCAAGGGATTATTGTCATCAAATAGGTGGACGGCTTGCTCAGTTGAAAACATCAAATATTTATGTAAGATGTGTTTTGTCGGACCGGTTAAAGCATACAAAGCCACAAATAATCGCTTTCATGCAATGACTGTACATGATCACTTCTGATTAAGCTCATTATTTATAAAGAAACAGGCCTCCTACACAGAGTTCATATTTCAAATGGGTTGCTCTAATGTATAACCCATATCTAAGTAGATTTCAAAGCTACAAAAGAAGAAACGAATTAAAGGAGTCATTATCTTATTAGAAATAAAGCGTATAGAACTTCCCTAAACTTGTGTAGTTTATTCCTAATCTTTAGAATATTCAACATGGATACATGATGTTTGGAAACATGTCATCACCGAGACGGTAATCAACCCAACCCTTTTCTATCATCTATTTATTTTATTTTGTTATCAATATTTGAATTTGTTTCGGTTGATTTGATAAAATAAACCAAGGACAGTCTTTTGCTGCATGCCATGTTTTTGTTAATGATACAGTTCATTTCAATCATCCACGATGTGATTGTCACCGGAGCATGTGTCTTCCAATCGAATATCAAAATCCATTTATATCAAGGTCTCCTTGGTCATATTAATTGCTATTTGTGTACGTTTTCGAATATAACTACTAGTTCCAATTTTTCATTCATATCGAGAAAGTCAATATAAATACTTTTTGTTAAAAATGTTTTTCGTGATAATACAGTCAGCAGTGAAAAATCGATTTGGAAATATTGGAGACGGAAGATTTTGGTTTGGGCTTGATGATCTGAGCAAGGAAGGTACTTTCCGGTGGGCTGATGGAACGCTGTTAAGAAATACAGGGTAAGATCATATTTTATTCTCTCTCTCTCTCTCTCATTCTCTTCCCACCACCCCCCCCCCCTCTCTCTCTCTCTAGCTCTCTCTCTCGTGCATTTCAAGGTAGCCCTTAAACCGTACCTAGAGCTTCGGTTGATTTTTGTTGCCTCTATATCTGCACTTTCGCTCGTTTACCCCAAAACGATGGGCACCAATCAAGAGATAAATAAACTAACCAAGTCCAGTCTTAATTAGTAATTATGACAACTCGTTCAACAGCGGTATAGATAAATCTAGCACTGGAAACAGTTCAAAAATCTTGAAGCCTCTGGTACATGTATCCCATGATAGATACTATATGGGAGATTATTTGTACGTTTGTCGAAAACAAATAGTTACGTTGTTAACTTAACTCTTGTAATCGGGCATTATTGCAATCGGGAATTATATATACTTAACTTATGATTCCTGTCTTCATAAACATATTAATTATCATGTGTCAGCCAATGGTAGCTGAGGCTGAAAGCCCTCTTCGTCACCAGGTGTTCCTTTCCATCTCTAAAAATCTAAAAATCCAAAGTATGTTGAATGGTGGGCATAGGGTTGTATAGGGCGTTGACGTGTGTTTGGGTATATGGCAGCATCTAGCAGTTAAAATCTGTCTCAGCTTTGCTGTTACGTTGTTTGTGGTGATCTTGCCATAATTATATCTGGGCCTTGATCCCATCGTCTCCCAAATTGCCCCCACATGATCTCTAACATGAAGATCTACCCAACAAAATATGGTACTAAAAGAAGCGAGAAGAGTCATTTTACTGGAAAACATATTTACAGCTAAACATGAAACAATTTATTTCCTTCTGACGTTTACTATTGCGTAGTATGAGGCTAGGAACTTTTCCTGTTAAGCCACCTTCGCTGTTTAAAAAGAAAAATGTATTGTTCTGGGTTGTTTTACTAAGGATATAGCAGTTCTGCTAGTTTAAATATGTATGGTATGTACCTTTTTTTTTGGGGGGGGGGGGTAAAAATCCAATATGAGCTCATTCATTACATTTTATTCACCACAACTCTGACAGTACTACAAATTATTTTGTAACGTATGCAATATCACGAAGCTTTCATTACTTCCATTTTGTAGATTCATTGCATGGACTCCCGGTGGCCCAGACAATTACAAAGGGGACGAACAGTGTGTAGAAAATCGAAAACGCGGCTGGAATGACCTACTCTGCAACAATTCACATAGGTTTGTCTGCGAGAAATCAGAGGGTATGCCATGTAATTTAAATATCAACCAGCTAATTTGATAGTGATGAACTGTGACCTAACTTTTCTATACTTACTGAGGTGTCTACACTCTAAAAAAAAAGGGTGCAAAAAAGGGTGCAAAATAAGAGTTTGCACCCTATGTTACCTACTGAAGGAAAAGGGGTTAAAAAAAGGGTGCAATATAAGATTTTGCACCCTTCCCACAAAAATGAACCATATCGCCCAAAACAGTGTGCAAAATAAAAGTTTGCATATTACATGCATATTCACGATAACTTTACACGTGTTCACATACAAATACGTTTGTCATGCTTTGTTAAAGGAAACCGAACCCCAAGTAATAACTTTACTTACTCTGGGAGATTTATTATATTATTGCCCATAAATCTACAAGATTCCCCACCAAAGTGTATGAGAAAGGAATAAAGCTAAAATAAAGTACAGTTTCCCAGCACGACATGGGCATCGCCATTTTCGTGATAATGTGACGTACTATGCGAAGTCGTAAATGTATTCTAATTTATGGATGCTTCATTCCCAGACGTGTGTGGTGATGAGGCATTTCATTCACCTGCTATTATCCTTTGTACTATGATTGCCAGAACGCAAATTGCATAAATAAGTTAATGCCCTTCTGGGGTAAAGGTTTCTCATAAATGAAAACGATTTGTCAACTGCTACAATGTAGTATTTATAAATGAATTTTGTTACAATTGTGCCCCTGTTATTTATTTTCACCTAATATATTTTCTATCATCTCAGTTATTTTTTTTTTCATTGAAAAGTAAAGGTTTCGTTATTGATTTAAAAATTATTTCCTACTAAAACTTAGTGCATGATACATGTACATCTTCATCAGGTACGTCACATTTTCTAGAAAATGGCTGCGCCCATATAATGCTGAAAGGCATCACATCATGCCAGGAATATCTTCATTTATATATATCTTGTACATTTTCGAAAGGAATATTGTACATCAAAAGGCAGGAATACATCTCATTTTTTTTCAAAATACTTACACTTATTCTTTGGGTTTAGGTTTCCTTTAAGCAAATTATGACAATGCACATCAATTTTGTGATTTCTATTTTCCTTCGGCAATCATTAACCAATAGATTATTTTGCCTGATCATGTTACAATTACATTCACGTTTTAGCAATGGATACATGTATATTGATTATATGATTACTAACCAAGAAACAACATGCATGTTTAATATGTATTTGTGTACGAGCAAATTTCAGGAGTATTCCTCGAGTATGGGTGCAGGATTGCACCTTTTAAAGGGTGCAGGATTGAACCCCTAAAGGTGCTGTTATTACATCGGTTTGCACCCCTAATGGAGCAGCATTGAACCATTAAGTGAATTAAAGTGTCTCCTAAAAGGTGCAATCTGGAACCCTCTTAAAGGGTGCAGGATTGAACCCATAAAGATGCTGCTAGTGTTGTATCAGTTTGCAACCCTAAGGGTGCAGGATTGAACCATAAAGGGTACTAACATGTCCCCTAAAAGGTTCAATCTGGCACCCTTTTAAAGGGTGCAGGATTTAGCCCCTAAAGGTGCTGCCAGTGTCGCATCGGTCTGCACCCCTATAGGCGCACACTTGCACTATTTTTTCTTAGTGTGTAATGAAGCTATGAGTAAAAAAAAAATACGCCATTCTTGTCCATAATCATGTTAACAGCAATCAAATAAAATTTTATTACGTAAAGCACAACCATCATTGGTCTCAAACATCAGATGAATTCGATGACTGAGCTAACATTCGTTTTTTTGTCTGAACTTTCTTCTTCTTCTTCTTCTTCTTCTTCTTCTTCCTCTTCTTTTTTCTTAGACGCAAATTAGTAAGCTCTGCTAGCAAGACGAAATAAAGAATATTATACATGTACTAGAGATCTATATTTGAATTACGACTTGGAAGTTACTGTATGGATGGATCATGTATCGCTTGTATACATTGACCACTGGACTCTGTCATTACCATAGACATAATGCAAGGACAATCATCTTCCCTTTTTTTCTGATAATTTCTCTACTCAGCCCCACCACTCCATGTACTTGCCATGACGTCAACACCTTTCGGGAGTTCGGGAGCTACTCCACGTTTCTCATGCATACTCAGCCCTCCTGACAACACAGAAGACTCTGTAACCTATACGGAGAGAGTAATTGTACAGAGCCTCACCACAGAGGGGTATACACTGGACGTCCCGGGCACGAAAATAACTCAGCCTGGTGGATTAATACAGGATCTACCTGGTGATGTAACATCAGTTGGAGTTTATAAGTGCTCGAGTACATCAACAACTTATGGTATTTCAACATCGGCAGATGTAACAATTCTCTCAAAAGACAGTAAGTATAATTCAAATTGAGCGAAGATTGTTTGAGAATAGGACTTACACAATAGTACATAACTTTAAACATACCTTAGGCTTAGCACATGTTTTTCTTATTAAACTTAAGGGCATTCTGTGTCTTTAAATGTTTTTAGCAAAAATATGGCGCCATATGAATTGTGTTAAGCATTATCATCATAATCGGCGTCGTTGTCGTCGTCTTAATCATCCTCACCACTGCATAAAGCTCATCCTTATGACAATTCAAATTTCGAAACTTAATTTTCAAACTTTTCTATTTTTTTTTCTTTTCTTTTGTTGTCATTGTTGACTGATTGGGGGTGAGTTTTTACACATTCAGAGGCGAGACATTGAAATGCAAATCGAGATTCTGAAAAGCAAAACCATGTTTAGAATACAATTAGCATTTTATGAGGTTTCCAGTTCTAATCATTCAGACAATTTATGAAAGATCTTTGGTTTAACTCATTATTAATCATCTCTTATCTATACTTAATTCTTATGGTTTCAAGTCCTTTTCACTTCTTTCTTCCTTTTTTTCCAGGACATTTTCAACCAACTGACGGCCGTCTCACGAAAACGATTTATCCAGGGGACAATATCACACTCTCAGTTTCTACCACGGATATGTACACAGCAGGTGAAGATGAAATCCGATGGAGGACCTTCTCAAACCTTGCTGAAGGATCTTTGTCTCCAGAGGGGGACGGGGCTCTGACCTATGCCATTCGATCGGCAACGAAGAGAAATGCTGATATTTACGGAACGTTTCAAAACGACATGGTTGAAAATCTAATGTACAGCTTGATTCGCGTCATTGTCAGTGGTAAGATTTTGTTTTATTCGTTGCATTGTTCTGATATTCTAAACATTGTATAAATAAACTACCTGTACATGTATACCAAATGTTCTCTGGATTTTCGCTCCCTTCTTAAAAGTTTCCTTTTATTATGATTGGAAAGTTATAATATGATCTGGAGGAATTACGTATTTAAAGAAAATAAGTTGAATTTTAAACAGTGTATTATTACCAGACGTCTATTAAAGATAAGGTAAGCTCTGGTCATGCGATTGCATTGTGACAGAAAAGGTGTGGAATGGATCAGAAAGAGTTGATCATGTAGCTTGTAAGTATTGGTGTGTTCTGGAGTCATCAAAATCATAATACATTTGACCCAGTCTTGGTAAAGTAACAAGCTGTACACAGAAAGATGTATATGGGACTACACAAATGGTGACGGGCCTACTTACCTTCATTTCCTTATCTTTCTATGCTCATTACTCCAGTATACATGTTCTACCAAAATTGTTTGACAAATGACATTTATTTGTAATCTTGAACATTCAGTGTAACTTTCGTATGATTCTGTGAGAATTCATTTTCTTTTCTACCATAACACAATTTTACCTTTACCTTTCAAGGTTTCTTGAACATTACAATTTGCTGGAACTGAAGAGCTAAATACACGTCGAAGATTTCCCTGCGTAAAGTAAAAAAACATTGTAACACTGTATTTTGTCAATTAGCCCTATCCCCAATCTTTAAAGATTCAGCCAAACATTATGCCACTTTGATTCCATTTTATTCCTATAGATTGTCCACGTGGCCGATGGAATATCCCATCCTGTGACCGTCTGTGTGATAATTGCTACAATGGAGGGATTTGTCACCCTCAATCAGGAACCTGTATCTGTCCTCCAGGATTCATGGGCAAAAACTGTCTGACTGGTGAGACGTCCAAATATTTCTCTACGTAAAAGTAAACACATTAGTATTGACATATATTACAGCACGAGTCCCACTTTCCTCCTGACCCCATGACAAAGAAACTAAAAGCCGCAAAAAAAGTGTTTACTACTTATATGTGATACGCAATGCTATATATTCACACACATACACACGCACACGCACACCGAATCGCACTCGCACTGTTCCGCCCTCACCACCATGCAGTTTCATTGCAACTGAAGCTTGCCATGTTGTGTTTGAATGATATCGCTCGCTGTTCAGTCATTTGGGCTTTTGAGGGAGATATGAGAGACCACATATTTGTCTTGATGTAACTTGAGTAAATGAGATTTTAAAAATAATATTATACACGTTATGTATAACTCAATTATTATCTGTTTTGATATAATTTTATGCGATCGACAAACTTGTAGCCCTTTAATAATAAGTATTTTTTCTCAGTTCTAAGGTTTACCGCTTTTGGGGGCCTTTGGGGGGGGGGGGATTATGGGGTACCATTGTATGGATAAAAGTATTTTAAAAAATTAATGATTACTAACAAGGATATATATTCACAAGTTGTGGTGCCTACTTATTGCGAAATAATCGAATTGCTTTCAATGTGATTATATCGCATTTCACAGGAAGCAATTACAGCCGTCGGAGTGCGTACTTGAATATTTATATTTCAAAGATTTAACCAAGCGAAAATGATAATAAAGACAGCTAATTATGTTCAAGTGCACGTGCTACATATAGTGAGAAAATTATCAAAGAAGTATTTAATATCTTAATTTCTTGTTGAACAGCATGCGATGGAAACCGTTTTGGATGGGAGTGTGAACTTAAATGTGGTGCTGGAAATGCTCTACAAGCATGCAGTGGAAGCCAGGTGTGTCTACCCGATCCCTACGGATGCAACTGCCTGACTGGTTATACAGGAATATACTGCGATGAACGTAAGATACGTTAATTCTAAATAAATACGATCACAGTACTTTCAAAAGACAAACGTAAGGCAATCTAAATTCGCATGTCCATCACCCGTTTGCACGTGACAACATTACCATGACGTTTCACGTAAATCTGAATGTGATTTCTTTCGTGTCTATGTGTTACTAAAGTCTTAAAAACGAAACTTCGACGTAATGATTGCATCGTTAAATTCAATGAAACAAAATGTTTTTTGGTACCGCTGTTAAAAATCGAGGAGTATAATGTTTTGTTTTCTATATTTTCGCTGTCGGAAATCAAATATTAGTACTTTTCTAGGAAAGGTCGGTTTAGACCGCCAGCAAGATTATTCTATTCACAGATGGGATGTCCCCTAAATATTTTTTTTTTGTTAAATCAGATCTAATATCGTGATTTAAATCTTTGGAATTTCGACATGAAGGTTCGTTGTTGACTGCCAGCAAGATTACCAATGTGCATGCGGAATGACCTATTCTTATTCATTATTTTTCTATTCTTTACTGTCGTGAATGTCATTTCAGAATGTACTCCGGGTAAGTTTGGTGTTGACTGCCTTCAGGATTGCCACTGTGCAGAAGGGATGCCATGTGATGCCTTCACTGGAAGATGTGAGGGAGACTGTGACGATGGTTGGTCAGGAGAAGGGTGTCAAGGTATGCCTACTTACTTTCTTTGATGGACTTGCTGGTATATTATAATATAAAAATATATGTTTTGTAACCACTGGTCCTTCATGCTATGTACCTGGAATGTACAAATTGATTGCATTGAAAGGGTTGCTACGGTAACTTTGTGTAAGAATTTTACCAGTTCAAGAACAAAGTACGTTGCATAAAGTTTTGGCAAGATGTTGTGGTATCCATGTTGGTCAGTAATATCATCAATCGCGATTTTCCATTGGTGGGTATAACATTCGATACCTGTATATAAAGCTATGGTCACAAATCAGAGCAGCGACTGACCGATCAGTAGCCTGCTCGGTCGCTGCTGGAATTTAGGCATCGCCCAGTGATTGTTGGAGAAGTCGAGCAGGCTGTAGAGCCCCAGCGATGCCTGGGTGGTGACCTGTCGATTTCCCGTCGGTCGCCGGTCGATTTTAGGTAAAAACTGGGCGAAATCGCGGAGCTTTTTTCGCGCGGTGTCCCGGCAGTGACCGACCGGTGACCCTCCGATTGCCGGGCGGTCTCCCAACAGCCACCGGCTGATTTTAAAGAAATTGCCCGGCAGCCGGCCAGTGATTGGCGGGGCTCCAAAATACGCTCGGTGCCTGGCCGTTCGCCGCCCGGGCACCGAACTAATCTAGCGTTCGCCGCCGGGCAATTTAGGTCGAAAATCGAAGGCGCTAGGTCAAAGGCTGCCGACCGGTTTTGGACTCGCCGCCCAGTGACCGACTGATCTCCCGGTGGCGACCGGGCGGCGACCGGGCGGCGACTGCTCGACAGCGTTTGACCTAGGGGCTTCAATTTTTGACCTAAATCGCTCGACGGTGAACGCTCGATTAGGTCGGCTTCCGGGCGGCGACCGCCCGGTCGCCGAGCGTAGTCTGGGCGGCGAGTGAAAGTGGGTAGGCGTCAACCGAATTTTAACTTCGCGCTAAAACTTCATCAGCGACCGAGCTATGCCTTAAAAATGAGCGGTGCCTGAGCGGCCGCCGCTCGGTGGCCGGGCAAAATTGGCTAAAAACTCGCCGCTCGGCCGCCGAGCAGGCTACTTTTGGGTAATGTGACCATAGCGGGTAATACTGTCAGATCATTGGTCTGTTCATCCCTCAGTCGTCTTGTGGAACAGTGTCTGAACTACAAGACTAAGTAAATTGCATGATCTACTGCACTCCATACAATGTGTTCCGTACCTGCCCATGGGACAGCTTTAAACGTTCTTAGCTAGTCTATGTATTGAAAAGGAAATATGGAATTCTTTTTACCAAATTAGAATATGTGTGTGCAGACAAAGATTTCGCTGTCTTCCCATTTTAATCTTCTCCTTTGGTTATATCAGAAAAAATGAAACAGTATTTGTCATACTATATATTCGACATGGTTCGTCATAATGAAAGGTCAAAGGTGAAAATTATTGTGGTTTTGTCAGTATTGTGGACGTCTTTATAAGGTGCCTAGCTGGAATGCTCCCCGGGGAATTAAAAAAACGTGGATTAATAGAGTGTGGGCAAACTTGAATACCACATCCGGTTAATGATTATACGTAAAGCCTTTTACTAGAAAAATCTCAGATCTATGCATCCAAAATATTTGTATCGTTTATATTCATTATCATTGTGAATGTTTATACTATTATTATCATTGTTTTTTTAAATGTTATTATAATAATGATAAAATCTTTGAATCCACATACTATTTTTGCAGTTCCCCCTGTATGTACAGCCAGCTATACGGGAATAAATTGCACAGAGTTCTGTAACTGTCCAGAGTACTCGGAATGTGAGAAGGACTCTGGTTTCTGTACATCATCGGGAGGACAATGTGAGATTGGCTATGTTGCCGACTCTCCAGAGAGACCAGATGGATGTGCCACATGTAAGATATTATCCTTTACCTTAGTACGACAATAAAACGGAGATTAATAAGAATTAATGTAGAATATAACGGAGGCCTGTGCATTTCACATTGATGTACAACCGCTGATATTATTTGTTGTGTTATACATGAACTTAGAATAACCTTGCGAAACATTCAGTCTCCACGTATATACGGACATGACAAAAAGACTGCACTGATGCTTGGTAAAAGAGTATAATAAATATGGGATACTCCATACCTGCCAGTGTAGTGAGATACCTGCATAACCAAATCAAATTTTACAGGAAGGTCGGATCCTGAGGTTCCAGTGGTTTAGTTAGCTTTACCCCTCAATGAGCCAGGTAACATGTAATACCTAATGATAGTAAGCAAATAACTACCGTTGGTGAAGGTGATGGGACAAACTATCACTTCCGAGGCGATCTGGATGTAGCTATCTTTCCGAGGCGAAGCTGAGGAAAGATAGCGTATACATTCTGATCGACGAGGAGGTGATAGTTTGCCATCGCCTGAAACCAAAAGGTGATTATTTGCTTTATATTCCACATCTAAAACAATTTAAATACAAAAAGAAAAGGACGTGTATGCATCTACATAAAAGACACCATGCCCAAATTCACACCAAAAAGGTTAAACAGTAGTTTAACCCAACCCATTGAGGGAACGGTGCGCGCATGTGTTTGTTTTAATTGCGCTCATTGGTAATGCTCGCTTAATTACGCCTGTTTTATTGCGCTTTTGGATAATCTTCAGTGAAAGTGCGTTGCCCTTTGTAGATAGTACCTCTATCTTCAGTGAAAGTGCGTTGCACTGTGTAGATAGTAGTACTATCTACACAGTGTAACGAACTTTTTGCTTTTCCCATCAATAATGGGCGATCTATCTTTCATCACGTGATTTACTTTCGACCAATCGTAGAGCAAGATTCTTAGTATGTGGAATATAATAATATTTATACTCCAAAATGTACTTTAATAAAAATCCTAGTAAACTAATACCTATAAATGCAAATATTTGAACATGGAAACTGCTTTTCTTCCAATAATTTTTGCTCAATTTTGTTTCTACCCATCCGATTTGTTTACGTCTTTTAGTTGCTGGATGTTTTGAGTCTTGTTCTAAGACATGTCACTGTGCTGGTGGTGTCGAGGACTGTAACCAGGAGACCGGGACGTGCTCTCAAGGTACATGTCATCCACGATGGACGGGAGACAAATGTCAAACTGGTTAGTACTATATATCACTCTATCAATTTATAGTCTTCCACCTATGGTGTTGATTGCAGCATTTTTTTCACATATGTCTGTTCTCTGTCATTCTAGTATACCCTGGCAGTGTTATTCCACTCTATGGCTTAACCTTGCCCTCTTTGTTGGTGTTGGTATTCCTCTTGGTCTTTTACCTGCTACTTTTCCTTAAAAAAGATCCTAATCTTGAAGAGACTCTGATGTCTTGCACCGTAGCCAAGGTATTTCGCCATTCTATCTTTAACCACCGTTCCTATTAAGATATTTTTCAATAGTTCTAAACTAAGCCGGTGAGTGTCATTTGTATTCTCATTCAACTGTTAAGAAAAACTCGGCGCTCAATATAATGCGAGAAATGATATGCGTAAATTCCCTGAAAAGTAAATTAAAACAATTGGTTACAACATGAATTTCATCAAACAGTGCAAATTATGCTGATAGTTTGATCCTAAATGTTTCTTTAGATCAAAATGATGTAATCTAAAGGCCAATATATTTGGTTAAATATGTAATGGATTGTCCTATTAGTGACAGTTAAAAAAAAACAAGAAGCTTAACATCTAATCATTTTCTTTTTCAGTGATTTTATTTTTCATCCATAAATTTGTAGATTATGTATTGTACATATTTTTTTTCTTTGAAGATCGCTTTAGCGTTAGACGAGCAAAAACCAACCCGGGTATTGCAATTTTTTCCTGCACATTTGATACCGACACAAGTGGCAACATCCCCTCCACAAAGGCTACTGTAGGGGATTTCTCAATGGAAAACTGGGAAAACGCACAGGCCGTTGATACTGCTACTGATCAGTCTTCATTACAATCAAACTTTACGTTTTCCGTTAATGTCAACGGAAATCAACCCATCTACTGTTTAGTTGGCACATTAACAAGTGATATTGGATTTGCTTTTTTCAGGTTGCCACCACCTGAAACATTCGGTAAGTGCTTAAATGATGAATTTAACTTTAAAAATCTCATGATATATAAACAATTTATCAATTTATCAATTTTATGAAGAGGTATCATATTGGCTTCTGTCCAAGGGGATGCTAAGACCTCAGAGAAAGCGATATACATCTATCAAGAACCGCGTAGGTAATGTCCATTGGAATAACATAAGGACAAGTCAAGAAGAATGATTTCATCTGTGTTGTTCCACAAGTCCATATCAAATTTTGTGCAACATTTAAAGAAGTCACACACAATTTTCGAACAGAGTACCGGATTTTAAGTTCAAGAGTCATGTTTCATCTGGAATTTAGACTTTACTACCACTCAAATATCAAATTATTGAAGCTGCTATTATTTATTTAAGGGGAAGTAAGATTTACCGTTAAGTGTAAATAAACTGCATCATTAACATTTGTCATGTGTTCTTTTCAGTTCTCCCGGTCTTTAACAAGGCGCCTGAGGTAGCAGAACTAGGTTTCAACTATGTCATCATTGCTTGGGATTCTTGGAACGGAAACGTTGATGTTGGTGAGGGTCCAATTATTGGGTACCAGGTCTACGTTACTGCTTCAGATGGGAACGAAACAAATACGTTTATAACATCATCAGGTGTTCCGATGGAGATGGGATCCTCAGGGATTGCGTCCTTAAGGAAGAGAAGACGAGCAGATGAAGGGCCACTGATGTACAACGTAACTGGTCTGGGTGATGGCCAAGCATATGAGATTCAAATTTCAGCAGTTCGTGAGGGACTTAACGGTGAAGGAGAGAAAGGACCTGCTCTGAGGGTGATAACTCTCAAAATAGGTGAGTCCTTGGTGAACCGAAAGTTGCTCCGGCGACAATTGATTGGAATGTATTTCGTGGAAAGTATAGGGTTTGGACTTTTGGGCTTTAGGTTAGATTTTAGGATACGATTAGGATGACGTGTAGTAGATGTCTCAGATTGTGATCCGATATTTGCTTTGGGCTTTTTCCCCCTAAAAAGCAAGGAAGTGGATTTTAAGTCAAGTCTTGGGCTATGATTAGGGCCAGGTATAGTGTTGGGTCTTGGGTTGAAGTTGGAGCATTTGTCGTACAACCCAGTCCAATTGTTGTATAACCGAAAGAAATTGACGTATAAGCTTGGTATTGTACAACAGAGTGCACTTCTGGAGTTTCAGCTGGCTATGCCTTCGTTCGCAAAGGACGCGGTAACCGCGTTGAAAGAACTACCGCGACTGAATAGAACCACAAACGGCTGCGTTTTTTGTTTGTTTGTTTGTTGTTGTTGTTGTTTTTTATCACTGAGCCTGGCCTGCACTGAAAATGTAATTCAAAAGGTTTTGTGTTAAGTGTTGTTGTTTTTTAAATCTTTTATTGTAATGATTTTGTCTTTTTTGTGTTTTGCAATATAAGCGACTTAACACGCCGTGTGAACATGGCTGAATTAATATATTTAACTGCTCTTAAAAATACAGGCCATTCCGATGCATTTTGGTTTTATGTGCAAACAACATATACGCAACACGTACACAAAGCTTTCTTAAATTTCTGTGGAGAATAATTCATGAGATATCCGAGTTTTTCGATGACGCAATGTTGAGAAGAAGTCAGCAAGAAAATACCATTGGTCAAGAAATATACATAATAATTTTACACAATACTTCCAAACTATGCAGTCATTAGGCTACTAGTTAAAATTCAGAGCTCCATCCTCGTCATAGATTCTTATTGTTTGTTTCATTGTTAAATAGTAATAATAATATCTAAGATTGATACAGCGCTGGTCTACTGATACAGTTTCTAAGCGCTTTACAAAACAAAAGAAATTGAAATTACGGTTAAACTAAATATGTGGTAAGGATCAACAAGAAACGTGAAATAAACAATGTGCTTAATTTGGACGAATTACTCTACTAACAGTGTATAACAATAACATGATAATGAAAAATGCAATTAAAAATACTATAATTAAGTAACATAAAACAACCTGCAATAATTATGTACTTTGGATAATGAATAAATTACAAGAAGATAGGACATGTGGTTATAAATTCGGTATGAAGATGGGGTTACTTTGTGTTGAACAGATAAGTCTTAAGTCTACTTTTAAACATGTCAAGAGTTGGGGATTCACGGACAGAGATGGGGAGATTATTCCAGAGTTTAGGAGCACATACAGCACGATCACCACGAATGTCTTACAGATGCCCATGTTCATTCAAATTTGAATAGCTATTTGCTCCATTTTAGCAATTTTCTTAAGCAAACCTTCTAACTGCTAGACGCATGTGCCCATCCAAGCGTGAAAGGTAGAAAACTTGATCTTAATTGATGTTGGTGGAGCATCATTTCTTTCTCTTATTTCATACATTTCAATTAGCATTTTTTGAAAACAAAGGTGTGTACATATTTTTTGCTGAGTGTGTATCACCATAATCAGTATTATTATTATTATTATTATCATTATTAAAGCTTTTATCATTGTTATAATTCCTTTGATCATTATCATTATTGTTAGTATTGTTATCATTGTGGTCCGTGTGAACTAATCAATGAGATGTCCGGGCATTCCCATGATACAATGGAGACAAGAACTCGGTAAGAAAATATCGTTATTCGTTAAATGTCCCATATGTTCTACCAAATAATGTTTTAATGTTACACCTTATTTAATCCATAGCACCCCCTCCTGGCTCTTTTGCAATTGGCGCCATCGCTGGTGGGGCAGCAGGAGGACTAATCTTCCTTCTACTGCTTATTGTCATCATCGTCATCATTGTAGTACGGAGAAGAAGGTAAACACATTATTTAATAACAAATGTGTATGTCTGTAAACCCTTACTCACCTCGCATCTTGCATCCCCACAAGATCGCGAGGACTTTAAAGAAATCATATCATTGCGATGCTCACACATTTCACAATGTTGATGGTTGCCTTGTATTGATTTCTCTGCAGTCTGTGAGATCCTGATTCCTAGCGATAGGTACAGTCATTTAGATCATCTTGAAATCTAAGCTCAAAAACTACAAATTCAATCTAAATGTTCCATCATAGTCCAAAGTCACATCAGCTCAAAAACTTTTGAAAGAAACCCAAGAATCCCAAGATCCCATATAAGATACCCCTTTCCTACGTGGGAATCTGATTTTCTCCATTCATCTATTTATGTTTTGTGATTTTCCTCCCCTAACACTTTTACCGCTATTGTGTCTCTGGTAAAAAGCGCATTTAAGTATTCGATACCAATGTATATCATCATTATTATTATCAGTATTGCTATTATTATTATTATCATGATTACTATAATTTTGATGATTAGTAATAGTAGTAGTAGTGGACATTATACTCATCATCAGTACTATAGTTCCTATCATCATTGTCATTATCGTTATTGTCATTATATTGGACCACTTTGAAAAACAGCTTTTAACTAACAAGGGCAATCTATCCCATGTGTGGAAAATAAATACATTAAAAATCGTTATTATCATCACGACGATCGTCATTTTTATCATATATTCTTGTTTGTAGAAAACCACGCAACGAAGGCTCCAAACCGGTCACCTATAAGAATGATAACGATTATATCGGTGGCATATCCGGAGGTATGTCCATCACATTATCTTTTTCTGCACCGGTGACACTTTTCAGTTTAAAACACCACCTATCCCACGCACATTGAATTAGGTCCTACGCATAGGAGTAGGGGCGCCCTAACATCAATTCCTATGGACAATTCTCACTACCGCATAATGCATTGCGCCCGATTTTGTAGACGCACTAACTTCCGGTGATTCTATACACGTATTCCGAAATACTACGATATTCTAATAATTCATTATCTGCAATTCTTAATCTTTCTCGACAATAACAAACTTTGAAATATGCACAAGCAATAAGCATATTTATTAATTAAAAGTAATATACCAGAATTGGCAAATGTCAGTGCTCGGAGAAATTCTTTCCGAAAATACCTGGCACGCTGCAACACAAGTGCTTTTTTCACAAGCCACGATTGTGAGCTATTGTCAACTTTTAAGTGTTTCCCGTAATATACAGCAGGGTCATATATTTGAAGATACCGAAAGCCATGTTTAATGAATTTACATCATAGGAAATTTTGGCAGAACTACGTTTTCTCATTCTTGGTCCTATTGACGGTGAAGTGTGAGTCCAATACAGTGTGGCCCGTTTTGACCGGAAGTGCATGTGACAACAAAATCCCTGCGATAGAGAGTGCCACTAACGGTGGCTTCTTGTAAGCTATATGCAGTAGCGAGAATTGATAAGGAAATAAATACTCTAGCGTAGGACCAAATGGATCATAATTATTGTTCCGCCTCATCGAGAATAGTAAAGGTATCACACGGAAAGCATGATAGCCTATTGTTGCACCAATCGACCATTTTCTATTTTGGAGGGGGTTGGCGTGGCCCTATAATGTCACCAAATCCATTATAAATCGCACATCGCAGCTTTGGTCCTATAACGCACGTTAGTCTCATTATGTGTATGGAAAGGACCCGGTATTCAGTGTATCGAATGGCCATACAAGGGTTATATTATTCGTGGGGACACTGATATATGATTGTGAAACTAATATTCAATAAGAGATAACAAAATAGATGCCAAACGTAGTGTAAGCTTCTACCAACACATTAGTAGGTAAGCTTTCATCTACTCCTGTGGACTTTCTCAAGTCAAATGATTATTAACAGAGTTTCCTGCTGTCTGCATGCTGCCTCGAGATCATGAGATTGAAGACAGGTAATAATAAATAGCAACAGTCTTTATTCAGTGAAGGATTGGTCTTTTTTATCCAAATGGATTCTTTTAACTTCCTTGACAAGAAGTTGTTTCAAAGTCAATAGAACGGGCCTCATCCCATCCAATGATGTGTCCATTGTTATGGGCGTGTTCTGCTACTGCTGAATGAGATAGAGTGTTCAATCTGAGGACTCTTTTGTGTTCTTTCAATCGACCTTCAGTGTTCTACCTGTTTCTCCGAAATAGGAGTTGTCAAAAATACATTATTATTATATAGGTATAATCGGGCACGTATCTACAGGGGGGGGGGGGGCACGTGCTCCTAAAAAAATGTCCAAGATCGGTTGAACTTTTTTAGACCCCTCCCCAGGACGTCGATCGATTACATGTATGTGCCCACCCCCCCCCCCCCAAACATCATATTCTGTCTACGGCCCTGGGTATAATTCCGCCTAGCAATATACTGCAGTCTAGCCTAGTTATGGTTTCGTTGTTTGTAACAATTGCAAGTTATGCATGTCAGCTAGGTACAGCCTTTGCAACCACCTTCTCGCCATTTCAAACATATCCAAATATGTAACTCGAAATTCAGGTACATCAAAGTCTACTCCAACCGTGACACCGAGGAAACCGATGGTCCTACAAAAAGCATCCACCATGCCTGAACCACCATTGGCTCAAAACGGTTTGGACGAGGTTGATGTACCAAAATCCAGTAGGTCGGAGGAATGGCCAAAGGAGCGTCGCCCGATACCCCTCTCACAGTTTGCTACCCTCGTTCAGAAGAATAGACACACAGACGTGTTCTACGAGGAATTCCTTGTAAGTATTTCTCTTTTACTCCTATCGTATTCAGGTTTCTTGTTGCGTTTGTTTCTCCTGAATATCCACATGCTCACTATGTTGAAGGCTTAGAAGAACTTGATGATAATACTGTGGCTGGTCTTTCGATCAGCCTTTCCGTATGACTAACTTTTACCATGTTTACATAATTTAGCAACCACACAAAAGAACGAAACATTGAGAACAAAAAATGATACTAATTATGAATCGACACTAACGGGACAATACAGTTACACTTAACTGTCATAATGCCCTACCTGGGAAGTCCTAAGTGAAATCAGCCTTTTGAACCGGAAATGGCTTCCTTTTTAGGCGCAAATAACTCAATCGCAAAGATCAACTTAAAAGTGCAAAGGGCAATAATACGTAATCCATTATAGGGTATAACAATTTACCATTGAATTGATTTCTCGAAAGTATGTATAATCGTGTAAGTCTGTAAGATGTATTACGTAAAATCAAATACTCTCGATAAAATCCATCTCATTTGATCTGCAGTAAGTATGCAATGTATGACTACGAAAACGTTGTAATTGAATCTTTCCCAACACAGTGCTTACCAGGCGCAAATATCTTCCCACAAACCGTTGCGAAAAAGCAGGTCAATTTTGAGAAGAACAGATACAAGAACATCCTGCCATGTAAGTTCTCTCATCATACATATGACACTTCAATTCACTTTCTGTCTAGGTAATGAGGCATTGTTTCAAAAAACCCTCATAAGGACAAGTTCGCCGACTTCCCATTGGTACGCGTAAATACTTTTCAGTGTAACTTATGTCGGTGATAAATGTGTGCTTAAACCAAGTCCGTGAAGCGACGTCAACGTTCCCAGTTATCGATTATGCTATCAAGAATACAGATATACCCTCGTTCTTGTGAATTAATCTGATGAACCTTTATCTATTTTCGTATCTATAATATTTGCATTATCTTTCAGAGATAAATTCAACATTTTATTTTAGATGGATAATATATGACAAATGTGACCGGTCTATAAGAGTATATATATATATTTGCCATGCGTGTAATTTCGTTTTTTAATACCGAAATATGAGGAAATGTGAAAATATATATCCCTCTTTAAACTTCACCATAGATGATTTCTCAAGGGTTAAGCTGGCAATCATCAACAACGACCCGGATTCAGATTACATCAATGCTTCTTACATACCGGTAAATAGTTACATGGAAGAACAGGACCATTTTAAAAATGGTTCTGAAATGGGCTATCCAACCGTTTGTCTATACTTTACACATTTACTTACTTTCTTATCGTTTGAAATGTGTTTTATATGTATGTTTTTTTAAAACTTGTATGTATATATGGATTTCGGAAATAAAAACAAACAAACAACAAACAAACAAACACCCTTTAAAAGACATTCTGAGAGATAAGTATTGCTTGTTGTCTTATTTCCCCCGTACTGTTTTTACAATGAAATTGTGTCTTAGCCTAGCTCTTTCTCATCTAACAGGATATTCTGTTTGCAATATAGTTGTTTCCTTTTCTCTTTTTTAACAATTTTTCCCGATGAGATCTTTCGAATCCAGCGTGAATACATTGCCTTTTCAATACATATTTGCTTCTATTTGTTTCTTTCTCTCTCTCCCTCTATGCCCTTCAGAGCTTTGGAAATCAGCGTGCGTACATTGCGTCACAAGGTAAAGTTATCACACTCCGCCGCTGTCTTTGTTTTTTTCGAGGGGGGGGGGGGAACTGTTTGCATACATTTTTTTTATAATAAAGCATTATAACGATAATAACTCACAGCATTTGTTTGGCGCCATTTCTCACTAAAAACATTCAAAGGCGCAGGCTGCTGCAATGAAGACCTTATTTTTACATTTGCCAAAAAAGTAGGTTTTTGAGACACAATTTGACGTTTTCTAGACTGCCAATCTCACGAAGGGATGAAGGAGTGAGTTTAGTAAACGAGGAGCAATGGATGAGAAGTCATGGTCCCCATATCCTTGAGATTTGATTTTCATTTCATGTATTTTATTTATTTGTCCAATATACGTTTTGACATGGATATTTGTTGCGCTCACATGTACATATAAGGCTCAAACATAGTTCACAGTAAACAGAAATTGTTTAAAAAAACAAGGATATATTTTGTTGACGCCTGGTTGATGACAAAATAACATTCATACACAATTTTGATTAACGTTTGGTAAGCCTTCTTTTGTTTCCATAATATAAGATTAGCTGTCTTATGAATAAAGGGATTCACATCACAATATTTTGATAATGATGCAGTCCTGTTGTTTTGATTAATGTATATCTCCGCTCTTTTATAAAGGACCAAAGAATGAATCGATGGATGATTTCTGGCGGATGGTGTGGCAAGAGAATGTGAAAACAATAGCCATGGTGACCAAACTCCAAGAGGGAAACAAGGTGGGTAGTTGTTATTTATCTAGTTATCACGATATGGTTAAAATCAAGATCCGTCGTTTTCAAAGACTAATAAGTTCTTCGTTTAATCTTAGGTGCCGTATTTATCATTGTGTGTGTACGCGAATGTGCGTGATTGTGAGCCTGTGTGTGCGTGTGTGTGTGTGTGTTGTGTGTGTGTGTGCACATGAGAGGATGAGTGAGTTGCAGATGGTAGTCGTTTTGTTTGAGGTTGGGTAGTAAGCGATAGGGTATGATTGTTTCATATTATAACTGATTTCACTCTTTTAAAAAATCGTAAGTTTTGAAGAATTATTTGAAATGTTTTGAATTAAAGTGAAGTGTGTGTGTGTGTGTGTTATGTGAGGCTTAATGTGCGTGTTTTTATGATAGATTACATTATCTATATTCCTTATTTTTTACTCTCAGTTAATGTGTTTGAATATGTACATTTTTATTTTTATTTGTAATTGCTCTAATCAATGGATGTTAATAATATTAGTTTTATCACATTATCAACCAGATTAAATGCCGTCAATACTGGCCGCAGTCGACCTCTGTAAACTTTGGGGACTTCTTAGTGGCATTGGATTCTGTCGCAAATTGTACCGGAGGATTAAAGCGAACACTGTTCTTGACGAAGGTACGTAGCGACATACATCCTTCTTTTTTCCATTCGTGCTCCCTTATTCGTCAGCTTTCTGCTATAAAGGACACTGTCAACATGAATTCTTAATGGCTATAATGTCCTTTTAGCAGTGAGGTGATGCGTTCATAGATTTCATGAATGTTTTTTTCCCCGGGGAGGGGGGGGGGGGGTTAAAGAGAATGTTCATGTATTAATTTGTGTTATTTTAAACTTTGACACGTCAAAATCAGGACCCATATAACGTATGTCTACTGTAAATAGGTAAACAAATACCCTCGATAGCAACATAGTTATCAATGAGTTCGGGGCTATGTTGCTTTTATCTCTGCCCGTTTATGTATTTTCAAAGGGATACTTATCTGGTCCACGGATACACAATGATCCCACTGATCCGACCATCATGATTTGTCAGAGAAATCAGAGATATCAGTAAAGTTATTTCTCGAAAGTCTGTGAAATAAAAATGCCTTTCTTTCAGGGGGCGAACACCAGGGTTGTAAGCCAATATCACTTCACGGAGTGGCCACTCCAAGCAGTTCCTAACAGCACATCTACTCTGCTGAAGTTTATCTCTGAGGTGCGGAAGGACCATGGACTAAATAGCTCTCCACTCCTGGTTCATTGCAGGTCACTATACATTTCATGCATAGGTCGTTATACAAATTAGCCATTCAAAATTGTACTCCAACCCCCCCCCCCCCACCATAATGACATATTTGTATATAATAATTGTTTACTTATGTTTATATATATGTAAGTTTAATAATTATACGGATAATAAAGAAGAAAAAAAAACTATTACCCCTTCACACCCAACCCCCCCCCCCCCACAAAAAAGGAAACCAAAATAAATGAATCCATGAATAAATCAGATTAAACGAATACAAACGAATAATTATTTGTTTTTAAAGAGCAAAATTTCGATTCCTATTATAGCGTATCCGGACACCTACCCCTTGGACATCCATCCCCGGATAACTACCCCCAGTCAACTACCCCCTAGGACAACTACCCCCAGGACAACTACCCCCTAGGACAACGACCCCCTTGACAACTACCTCCGACAACTACCTCATAGCTTAGTTAAACGGGGGATAGTTGTCCTGGCTAGAGGATGGTTGTCATAGGGGTAGTTGTCTGTGGGGTAGTTGTCCGGGTGTAGTTGAGGGGGGGGGTAGTTGTCCAAGGAGGTAGTTGTCCGGGGGTAGGTGTCCTAGGGGGTAGTTGGCTGGGGTGGTTATCCGGGGTTGGATGTCCAGGGGGTAGGTGTCCTAGAACCCTATTATAAACCTGATGCCTTTACGTTGCAAACTTAAAACTAATTTAAAATTCGAGAATTGGTAAAGCGATTTTATTGCGAAAGAAACTATCTAGAACTAATTGGGGAATTTTATTTCGTAGCACATTATAAATTGATGTACATTCTGTAACGTTTTGAAATGATAAAAGTGAAAAGAAAATGACTCATTAATGAAAGCCTCCTCAAAGACTGCACACATAAATGAGCACATTGTACTAAACGTGCATGGGGAATGAAAGCTTTGATAAAACTTTGCAGTTATTTTCTCGTCATATTTAGAACAAAAAGCGTACGAGGGCAAACCTTTCAGGGCGATTTTATTACTATGATACTCATGATATGATTTGTGCTATACAAGAACGAAATATTGCTATCATTGTTAAATGAGATATCTCTCAAACAATATTTTTCATTTTTAACCGGAAGTCTATTTTCGTTCTATTGACATTTTATCGTGCTGTTTTCGTCCACCATTTGTCCCTTCAGTGCTGGCGTTGGACGGACGGGTGTACTGTTGAGTATAGACAGTGTCGTAGCTGAAGCGAAGAGAACCAAGGAGGTCGATATCTTCGGTTATGTGTCAAAGATGAGACAAAACCGACCTTACATGGTGCAAACAAAGGTAGAATATAACGTACTAAAATTTTACTTTCTTATTTCTACAGGGATATATGTTACAAGTCACATATAGATATGAGTTATGATAGAGGTGTCGTGGTCTTGTGGATACATAACCAAACTTGGAATCATATGGGTCTTGGTTCCAATCCCATCGCGACACCGCTGCTCTAGTGTATTATTTCTACATTTGGCAATCTCAACTCCTGTGTCATAAATGGATACCTGGCAGGAACCCATTCGTTTAAAGATACAATGTCCCATTTGCAGGCCAAAAATGAAAAGTTAAATTCCAACTGCATTTGAAAGATAATACTAATTTAGAACTTCCCTAAAAAAGGTGGCTTGAAATGTCTTCAAGTGGGAAAATAACAACTATTAGTTGTCAATTCGACTTTAGGGCTATAGAGCCCAAAAGTAATAGTCTTGATTTTCAGACAATTGTACCGAATGGTCATACGTTTTATGCTGCGCAAAGATTCAATCAGTTTAATCTTGGCCATCACAAGAAGTGGGTTATTGATGTAGACAAATGCTCATGTACCCTTTACAACTCTTTTCATGTATGTTATTACCAAAGAAGAAAAAAGCCAGTCAGTCACTCAATAGTGTCTGACAGTGAAGTCTAGTAAGTAAACGGGTTTCCTTGCATAATTTGAATATGAGGACACTGCTAACGTTTAAATTTCACAGATAGGACATACATGACATATTCATAATTCCTGTAAAGTTCTACGGAATTTGAGGTTGGCTGCAAAGAGGGACATAGTACCTTTAAAGCTTTGAGCGTCTGAGGGCAGCTGGGCTGTAATCAGTGTAATAAAACTATCATGCAGGCGCCATGAATATCCCCGTGGGTGGATCCCCCTTTGATTGTTTGCTTCTATATGATCCCCCTTTAATTATTCACATATTCAAGCACGCATCTCGTCATACTGTATATATTTTTTAATTAAAGGAGCAATATACATTTGTGTACGTGGCCGTGCTCGAAGCTTTGTTCTCCGAAGATACCAGGATCCAGGCTTCCCACTTCGACTCCACCCTGATGAATCTTCAAGAAGTTCCTAGAAACAGCAAAAGAAGATGCACACTGTTGTCTATACAGTTTGAGGTAAAATGTACTCTTTCCCCGGTGAAGGCTATTTTAACGGCCCAAATTCCCAAGAATCCGCAGTTCTGCTTGAATGCAAATTAAGCTTGTTAATATTCTATTCCAGGTAAAAGAAATATGTAAGATATAAAGTTCATCTCCGATCAAGGTTATAGTGACAGAATCTCTCTGAAGCAATCGGGAAGGCTGGGTTAAGTATGCTCAAGAATCGGTATACCCGGTGAAGTGTTTTTGTTTTATTGAGTTAAGGGGATTTTGGATACCTCAAAAACACTATTTTCTTTACAACCTGACAGAAGTTGCACTGACACTTGTATCCATAGGTAGAATTGTAATACCAATGCAGTTGTCCATGGTCATTCTGTAGCAAATTATTAACTCCAATATTGGACCAGACACTGAACCACACCTGTACAGCCCGATCCCTAAACCTAACATAGTTAAAACCCAACTGCAAACTTATCCTATATCCCCAACGAGATAAAGCCTTGAACAAAGTAATTTAAAGGAGCCAAGTTCAGGTCGCCATGGCAAACCTATATGTTAATATCTATCTCCATTTTGTGCTTTGTAGAACATGATGGTCGTTTGTCCTGATCCTCCAGCCTCGTTGATCAGAACTGCTACGAAGACAGAAAATCGTTCGAAGAGCCGTTACACCAACAGCCTTCCAAGTAAACAAACATTGTAATTGTTCATGTAGCGTTTAAATTTCACCCATTCGATGCTTTATAACTTATAAAAGGTCTTCACTTGTTCAGGAATCCAAACATGGTATAATTACATGCAATTTTAGAGATGGGGGTGATCTTCACTAGAGGGGGGCGGGGGTGTTAATATATTTATGTTAAATTAATCCTCTTGTGCCGAACAGCACTCATGGTAAATAAAGGGTTAATTCCATATTGTTTTATTAATTTTCCACCTTTATTTCCAATATATCAACAAACAAACAACCAGTGGACAGGAACCGAGTCATCCTTCAGTCTAGGGGCTCTTCAGATTCGGACTTCGTCAACGCGAGCTTCGTGAAGGTTAGTCTACCAATAGCACCGCGTCGGAGGTCTAGACTAAATATTCTACATACAACGATTGGTATACACTTTGGTTAAAATCAACAAATGATTTTAAATTTAATCTACAGTTTTAAACTTTATTTAAACTTCCCCAAAACACGTCTATTGCCCGTTGGTTCGTAATGAACAACGCGATTTAATTCAGGGGTTCAGATAAACCAACTTCGTGAATTCTGGCAATTCTTTGCAGAATTACTATAATTTTGTTTGTTGAAGGGTACCTACGACACATCGAAATTACGATGTGATAATTTACAATGGTAACATATAGAATATCAAATGACATATATGTTTGAGGAGCGTGTGTTTCTTTGAGAGAAAGTGGGAGCGTGTGTTGGTGTGTGTTTTAAAGTGTTTACACAATTTGTTTAGGTCATTCTACAGTAACTCTCTTCTTATTTATTCATTACCAATGCATACCAACTGGTTTGGTTTTGTCGTCGTTCGTACAGGGTATTCGACACAGGTTCATCACCACCAGATGCCGATGCCGAACACCGTAGCTGATTTCTGGGCCATGGTCATCGACTACCATCCCTCCATCATCGTCATGCTCAACGATGATGATAAAAGTAACGAGGTAAGAAATGTGGAATAATACGAGATTTGTTCACAATGATTATAGTACCAATATTTCTACTACTAATTATAATGATAAAAATAAAGACAGTAATGATAGTGAAAATAACAACAACAAACGTAATAATGATAATAATAATCATCATGATAATAATAATAATGACAGCAATAATGACAATAAGGATAATAATAATTCTGTGCTGTTACTCCAGAGGGCCGATTCTTACACCCCAACACTAATGCCAGGTACTAAATTGACACCTGGTGGTGGAGAGTGGCTAATGTGCATCAATGTCTTACATGACACCTCCACCAAGTTTCATTTTACCTCCATACTGGAGACGGGAGAAGAGACACTGAATTAAAACATAATGTGAAATATCTTACGGGAGATATTTATAGACATCTAGGAAGGGAAGATCGATAATAAACGGGGGATAGACTAAGAATAAGACACTTTGGATACACTTTTTCCGTATGGACAGATAAAGGTCATTCTATAAAAAAAAACTGTAAAACCGTTCAACTGTTGAAAACGGGTTCATTAAAATGTATTTACTTAATATGTGCCGACGGCACATTCTATAATGTACAGGTGAAAGTATTCTTTTAAGAGGACAAACAAAAGGTATTCATGGGGCACCATCATCACTTTGAAATTAATTATTTTAAAATGCACAAAGTGGGACGTCTCCACTTGAAAAGGATCTATGGATATGTTTGTCATTTGTACAAGTGCTCAAAAGTGGCATATATTGGTGAGGCTGTGTGTCAGACTTATAAATAGCTTACAAAACATATGAAATGATAAGGAAGGCTCAAGATAGAGAGAGCTGGAGAAAGAACTAACAATATGGCTCTAGTGTGGACTTGCCGTGGTAGAACTTCCGAGAGAGAAATCATTATAATTGAAGAAAATGTTTGATATTTTTAAAGTATATTTATTAGCCTAAGGCCACACCTCAATCCTAATTTGTCGTGATCGATGTGTTTTCTTAACTCCTTCATAGAGCTGTGCACGATACTGGTCTGACAAGGGTGTAACAACCTTCGGATCTGTCTCTGTCACCACGCTGTCTGTCTCAGAGAGAAGAGGATTCATCGAGAGAGAGATAGAGGTTACTCAGAACAACCCAAAGGTAAATATTCCCCCCCCCCCCCATTGTTGTAATCGTAAAGTTAACTCATAAATTGAAACATTCCTTAATATGAATGTATTCATTTTTGTTCACAACTTGCAATGCATTTCAATTGACAACAGTTCAATTTGGTAAAAATATTAATAATCTGGCCTCAATTATAACTGTAAGAAGGTTTACGATGAGAATAAAAGGCAAGATATATAAGACTTATAGTAGAACAGCGATAACATAATCACGATTAAGAACATAAATAATCATGATACGGAAGATGCGTGGTGTGAAGAACACAAGTGAGCTCATGGAAAGGTTGGGTCTGGAAAAAACTGCGGTGGAAGTGGTAAAGAGAAGTGGATTGAGATGGATGAGTCATGTGTTAGGGAGGGGAGATGATGAACCTGTGAAAGGAGCGTTGGATCAAGAAGTGGACGGCATAAGAGGAAAAAGAAGACCGAATATGTAATGGAAAGGTCTGGTGAAAAAAATAAAGCAGAGTGGTTGTTAATAATGAGGAGGATGCTCGAGACAAGAAGAGGCGGTGAAATCATGGCGCTAAAGTCAGTAACCCCCCCCCCCCCCGCCCCCACCATAAGAGAGAAAATGCTGAATTTAATAATGATAATGATAACGAAAATCTAGAAAAAGCTCAGACAGATAAAACATGATGAAAATAATTAGCATTCTATTTCATTTACCAGTTGTTCATGGATCGTGAATACCGCCAAGTAAAAAGTAAACAAACAATACAGTACTGCTAACCGATCGGCATATCAATTGCCACACCGAACGGGGGCAAACTATAAAGTTGGGCTGCAAAGCAAAGCATACGGATCCCCGACCGGGCCGCGTCATTTTTTTCTGCGGCACAGATTGGGGCTTAAACCCTAACCCTAACCCTAACCCTAAACTGTCCCATAGGCTCAACACGCACCTAACCCCAATCTGTGCCGCCGATAAAAATAACGCGACCGGGCCTATCCATGGTTGAAAGGCCCTGATCATTAAACAAAGTGCAATGAATATATCATAACAAGACAGAAATAGAGTATAAGTAAGACCCCGAACTGGATTAACTTCGTACAGATTAAAACATTGAAGTACAAAATACCATGTTGAATACGTATACAAAGACGTTATTACTAGGATCATTATTTCTTATACAAGGCTCGCCATGTTGTAAAGCAGTATCAGTTCATCTACTGGCCTACTAAGGCAGAGGAACGAAGGGACCGCGCGCCTTATCTTCTGAATCTTATGACAGAAGTGGAGGACAGTTTTAGTGGAGTTGCAGAGGGGTTTCCTGTCCTGGTTCACTGCCTGTAAGTTAAGAACCATTAGTATAAACATTACTGTTTAGTATACATTTCTTCGATGTCTTTCTTCTACAATGGGGAGTTTCCCAATTTCTTTTTTAACCTTTATACCAGAACCCACCCTTTTCTAACAATGATGCCGGTCTATTGAATAGTTGTATTTTGTTAAAGTACGAACATAGTAGTTCGTACAGGTGTGTTACTTACATCCACACGGGTCCTCCATTTAACTGAGGGACGGGATGTTTTCCACTGTAAGACCTTTCTCCACTTCTTTGCCTCGTGGTCAGTTAACGCGTCATCCCATTCTCTTAACATGATCACAAAGACTTTCATGAAGTTAACAGAAGAAAAGTTTCAATATTAATATGGTTTTCTCTTCAGACTGCATATTATGTCATTGCCATTTTCGCCCATTTAAAACGTGACGATAATGATATTCACTATGAACATGACGGACAAAGAAAGCGGACAAAAATATACAGTTCCTCAGGTCGACAAAGGGACATCCCTTCACTGCTATTATGTTAAAATGTGTTTTAAAACAGGTGTCACATGCATATTCACCTGTTCTACACAGTTTTACATAATAGCAGTGAAGGGATGTTCCTTTGTTACCTGAGGAACTGTATATTTTGTCCGCTTTCTTTGTCCGTCATGTTCATAGTGATTGTTTCCATTTTGTTAAAGTCTTTGCGATAATATTTAGTCTTATTTTTTTCTCTTTCAATACATAGGAACGGAGTGGGTCGAACAGGTGTATTCTGTACCATGCTTGAGTGCATCGCACAGATAAACGAAGAGGACGCTGTTGATGTCTTCCAAACGGTCAAGATGCTGCGAAATGAGAGGATGCACTTCGTAGAAACCGAGGTATTAGCAGATCACCAGATCATATTGCTGTGTGTGGGGGGGGGGGGGGGGGGGGGGGGGGGGGGAGGGTCGGAACGGATCTACCGATATTAAGCAGAAAGATTAACCAAAAGCGAACAAAAATGTGTGTCCTCAGGTCCTTCTGGTAGAATTGTCTACTACTGCGGTTGTCAAGGGTTTGTGTCACATGCATAATTGGTATATGCCCAATATGCAAGTATGACTATGTTGTCATAATCATTGCCATGATATCATACAATGTGATACATATGACATGATATGATAGCTTATAATATGAAGTAAAATTAGGCCTGTGCGATTTATTACGACAAAATGGTGTGATTTTCACACATTTTCACTTTCATCTTGTTTAATGTAGGAAGAATTGGCATTCATCTACGAGTTGATTAAAGAGTATCTGTCTGCCGACGAGTACGAAATACTGTCAGTCCCGATCGAAGACGAACATACCTATGGGAGCGTCGACTCTAGCTAGATCTGCCCCCCCCCCGGCTCCAGCGGGCGAGAGCGTGTACGAAATAGAGCAAATCCAAGATGGCGCCGATGAGGGAATCTCGCATGGAAACCTAGCTGAAAGAGACTTTATTGTGGACGTAGCGCCTCCTGCAGCTGAGGGAGATAACGCACAAGGGGATGCTGTTTATGAAGTTGTCAAATACCAGCAGTAAAAATACGAGAATGATCAGGTTTTTCATGAGGATACCAATTAGTTTGTATTATAACTGTTTATATGCTTGTGTATTTATCTATATATTTCGTTTTTGCTGCTTTTTTATTCTTACCAAATTGGTGAAATGTGCCACCCTGTATGAATATCAGAAATAAATAAATAAATAAAAATGTACTCGCGAACTGGTGAAAAAGAATTGTGAACAAAGTTATGAACTCAAGATTATGCTTTTTTCTCTCCTTTGCCCCCTAAATCCGCCATGCCCATATCATGATCTTTCTAAAGTTTGTTGCGATCATAATAAATCCTTAAAATACACAAAAAGGTTAAAATCTGTGGTTTACAAAGTGTGTAGTTGGGACGATTCCTTTTTTCAGTGAGAAAGGTATATGTTTTGTTTTTGTTGATCAATAAGTGTCCATAAAAAGGCATAAGTGTCAATAAGTGTCAATAACTGTGCATAAGTGTCCACAAGTTTCCATAAGTGTCAATAAGTGTTCTTGATTAATTAACTCTACTTAGGCAATATCGGGTTATTTGATAGGCCTAATATAAAACTCTCGTTTTCTGCGACCTTTGATATGCTGAAACATGCAGCTGAGTTTCATACTGGTGTGCTCGCTGTCTGTTTGTATGATAAATGTATCTTTCATTGTAATGTAGTTACATTTTGTCCTTCAATTATTCATTTATGTTTTGTATATTCATCATTCTTTGAACTTTGTGTAGAGATATTATCTTTTGTTATATCTGTATTTATATTGAATGAACAGATTATCAATAATTAAAACAGGAAAACAAACGATAAATTCTGTTCCTGTCATTTCCATGCAATTTCAGAAATGTTTTTGTATCATTCTGTACATTATTTATGGAGCTATTTATTTTTGTTAAATTAAATATGTATATATTTTGACAACAATTAGTTAAAGAACATTATGTTCATGAATCGCCATGTAATCAGAGATTGTCATTGTTGGTATATGTACCGTGTAATAACTGTATTAAGTATTAAGATTTTTTTAAACGATGTTTATAGAAATGTGATTAGGTTCAACATATTAACAGTAATTCGAATATGATTGTAAAACTATTCAAGTTAAATTCATGACGAATTTTAAGTCGAATGAAGTCACTTGAAAATATTTGGTTATGCACTTAAGAAATTATTGGTCTACATAATTATGAAAGTACGCTGTATGCCTTATGTGTTTCCCGTATGAGCATAATAGTTTGCCATCTAATCAATTATTACAAATAATAGTTGACATGGGGGGTGTTTCACAAAGATCCTAAGTAGAACTTAACTCTAAGTTGGACTTAGATATTATGGACAGCCATTGGAGTCTTAAAATGAAATATATTAAAAAGCAGAAATTCAAGTATTTTAGACTTTTTATAAATTCCACATCCAGAACATGAAATCTCCTTGATGATAGAAAATATGAATGATTTGAATAACAATTAATGCCTTTCAATATAACTTTTACAAAATATTTTCAAAGATGCTAATGGCTTTCCATAATTTTTAAGTCCAACTTAGAGATAAGTTCAACTTAGGATCTTTGTGAAACACCCCCTGGAGTAGAAGATCAAGTTTAAGAAAAGGAAACCTTAGACCTTAGACTAGCTTTCTTTGTTAAACCCAAGCATGGGTTTGAATTCGAGCATTTTGTGGATCCTGACATGAGGTGTTAAACGCAACTGCTGTACGTTATCACACAATGTGGAGCAACAGGGTATGAAACGATGAAACGGTTGGCTCAAGACCGACGAACTTGGAGAGAAACTTGGAGAGACACTTGATATAGAATTTTGAATGGGCCACTGAACCTGTCATAAACTGACAGATCACTATTGATGATGTACGTCTATGCCCATTTTAGGTCGGGTCTTGCGGGAGAAGAATATAATAATCATTATGATAACATTACATCTAAATTAATCCTTTCATTGGTGAGAATAGCGATAGAGCAAACTTGAAAACGATGTCAGTTGGGAAAGTATTCACCTTGTCCTCATTCATGACGATCTTGCATGGAACACATTTTTATTTCTAATCTTGCAGAATTAATTTGATTCTGCTTCATACATAAAACATAATTTTAATAATTTATTCTACATATGTAATTCATCCAAGGTAATTTGAAAATGGATGATAATACTGATCTTTAATGTATTTGTCTATATATGGAATCTTTTGGTTAAATGTGATTGTGGTCCAGTTTCTTAGTAGCTGATTTGGCTAAGGAGAGAATTCGTATTTCCATAGGCCGATATGCGTGCGTACACCCTTTATTCTTGTAGAATTAATACAATATGTTTCATGTTACTTTATCAAGTTGGAATTACTCCATTTACAAGAAAATTATTCGGTAGTTGCAACACAGACAAGATGTGTAGAAACAGAAAATATGGATGTTTCAGTTGATATATTCATGAAACGATATTTTTTTTCTTACAGTAAGAAGTTTATATCAATAAACAGTTTCTTATACGAAATATGGCAATTTCGTTGTGTGTATTAAAGTTGCGTGTTATATTGTCATAATATCTTTATGATTGAAAATGTTAATGAAGTATGAAAATTACATTTCCACTTCTGTTACATGTCCTTCATCTCTCTATCAAACAATTAAAAAAAAATATATAAAATCACTACATACGAAGAATTATATTTACATTTTAGACTCACCTTCTACTGGCCACATATAAAACCAACGAAATATTTGGGTAGGATCCCCCTTTAATGATAAATAATTCACATACAAAAACAAAATTAACGCCTGTCGACAATACCAATTGTCCTTGAATAAACAAATATTGTTTATCAGAGTGAGTTATTATTTGCTTGGAAGTATAAAACACTTTTTACTGATGTTAATTTTATAGCGTCAAGCATTCACCTTGTTCCCAATAACATTGGTTTGTTTCAAATGATACCGCAATTACTTATCAAAGCATTTATGCCCATGTTTGTACAATATTATGACCTTGTGCAGAAACACAGTGCATGCAACAAAACAAATAACTAATATTCGTTGGCAAAATAAACCGTTTCTAAGGACCGGACATCCATCGATAAACAGCCATAGATTGCTCGTTCTAGAGTCATGTACATGTGTGGTGTAAGTTTGAGGAAGTAAACAGGGAACTAAATTCTGGCTAAAATGCACTTTACTCATATATCATACTTCACTTATGGCTAATACATAACAAGTTGATGAGCTGGGAATATACACATTTGTGCAGCAACCTACAAGACTGTTCTTCGACTGACTTCATCAAGCTATGGAATGTATTCAACCCTGCTGGAGTTTGTAGAAGAATAATCTGTATCGTCATCTTCAGGCAGTGCAAGGATTGGTATCAGGAGCTATGAAGCTATTATACTCGAAAGTTCATTTTCTGAAGTCACTTCTCACTTCAACACTATGGGTAGTCATATCACTTCTGTTTCTAGTTACAGGACAAGGTAGGAATACTCCAAACAAAATTTCACTGACATAAATCTATAAAATACAAAGCGTTTCGTTAACAATGTTATTTACAAATGGTGTAACATGAAAAATACAAAGAATAGCATGAGCGATAGGCCTATCAGAAGTATGTGTGTGTATGTGTGCTTGGGCGTGTGTGTGTGTGTGTGTGTGTGTCCGTTATTAAGTTTTAAATTAAAGGCACACTGTCCTACTTGTAGCTACTTGCTCCCTCTATATAGAAAACTTCCCCAATCGGTGCCTGTTGGTCCCCCATGATCCTCTTTTTCTTATGTTAAATGAGAGCTAAGTTAATGAGATAGGCACCTGTCACAGTGACCTCGCTGGCTCGCTTGGCGGTCTAATCCCTTCTGGCTGATGTAGTAAAGCCTGCCTTTAATAGAAAGGCAGGGACCAACAGTTTTTACAACCTCTTGTCTATGGTTCAAAATTGAGCATAATCTGTTGATCAGAATAGGTTGGGTAATGTTTTTTTGTAGCAATTGCATGCCCTGTCTATATAAGGGATTGGGGACAGTGTGTCCACCCCTTTACAAATATGCACCTGAAAATAGTGATTACCCCTTTATCACGGACTTTTTCTTCAAAATGCACATCAAAAATGTGAAAACCCTTTTATACATTGTTTCTCTAATTAGTGTTTTTCCTAACCTTTACATAAATTCTGGATTCGTCCCTGAACACCTATTTTATTGTTTTTTATAAACAACACTTAATACAGATTGAAGAAAAAAAGAAAGAAATTGCCAACAATGTTTAGTTGATTACTGGCTCTTGCGATCTTGTGGGCTAAAATTACTTTTTATCAAAATGTCCTTTTTTCTTCATTCGATGCAGAGTATATAATTTAATTTTCATATACAATATACAGCCACAACAATTTTCACCTAAGTTTTACTGCATCATTTTTTTCGATGCAGGAAGTGCTCAGATATGCAACACGCCTGATTGGTTGGAATTTGGTAACAACCAGTATCTTCTCGTACACCAGCCTGGTAGACCATACAGTGATGCTATGGCATATTGTCGATCATTAGGCGGAGACCTAGCAGTTATCACTTCTAACGAACAAAACGTGAGTGGTTGTACTCTAGATATTGCCTTTTCATTTAATTCCATGTTGTGTGTGGTCACATTCAACAATAAGATTAGAATTAGAATAGTCCAATAGTTGATGATAAGATAATGAATCTTCTACTACTGACAATAGTGAAATGGAAATATTTTCAACAATGAAGCTATACGTGATACAACCCATAACAAAAATTAAAAAGAAAATAATGTTGATAACAATAGTCGCAAAAT